TCTCTTCTTCCCAAATTATTTTATAAATGTTGATAGTGTCCCTACTGGCCAGGAGCTGGGGCAGCACCAAAATGCTCTTGGAAAGATTTGGTTCAGATAATGGAAAAAGAGGATTGGCTAAAGGCTTTTAATAAGGTGAAACTTAGGTACAGAAGGACAGCACTGAATCCAGCTTGTTATCTTAAGTAGGTAGCTATGGGAGTGTGAAGCCGGTGAGTGGAAAAAAAAAACAAACCCAAACCCATCGTCATCGAGTCAATTCCAACTCATAGCGACCCTATAGGACAGGGTAAAACTTTCCCATAGGGTGTCCAAGGAGCAGCTGGTGGATTCAAACAGCCAACCTTTTGGTTAGCAGCCGAGCCCTTAACCACTATGCCGTGAAAGCTCTATCGCCCAACTGTTTTTGATAAAACTATAGGCATAATGCTTATCATTATGCATATGTGTAATAATTATATGCATAATTCTGGGATACAAGCTCTAAGCCTTCATTATCTTCTCAAATGGGTTGGGGAGCCCTCAAAATTTAAGACCTATTGCTGAAAACAAGGGGGATATTTTGCAGGGTTTGAACCAGGAAAGCTAAATCTCTGCACTCCCGTGAACTAGTTTGGGATTTTAACAAAGTTTTCCCCTTTTTTCTTGTGAGGATTTGTCTTATCTAACTAGCCAATTTTATGATGTCAGGCCCAAGGCAGAGGCAACGCCTGCAAGGCATATGCAAGAGCAGAGCAGGCTTGTTGAATGCAAGCGCAAAAGAAGGCAGGTGAGGAGGTCACAGGGGCTCTGCCCTCACAAAGGGGCGCAGGGAGCTCCTGAGATGTGGCTCAGGCAGCAAGAATGCCTCGGGCTCTCTGAGCGAGGGACCTTATCAGAGGTGGAGCGTCTGCTTCCTGCCCATGCACAAATGTGATTATGTCTCTGCGGAGAGGGCTGAAATGAGGTTAGCGTCACTGTGCCAGGCTGAGCTGCGTAATCAGAGCCTGGAGCGGAGCAGGTGCTATGGCTTTCAAGTGGTTTCTGAGAATTAGGACAAGCTGATTTGTAGCTCAGAGCCACGTAGAAAAACCACTTAGAACATTGTCCACGTGGAGCTGGTCGTTTGTCAGCCTGGCACATCCTCACTCAGAGCCTGGATCTCCACCGCCTGCCCATGGGTCTCTCTCCGAGAGGCCAAGTGCGTGGGTTTGTTGACAGGGCCTCGCTGGCAGGGTCCTGGGGTTTCAGCAGGCTTAGACTTCAATGGCTAGGGTCCCAGGGGTCCTGACTCCCCAAGACACAGTTAGAGCAACAGGAGTTAACTACACCTGTGTTCACATCTTGGTTGCTCCTACCTGTGGTCCTTGGACCAGTACCCATTTCTCAGACTCACTTCTGTCAACTCTAAAGTCCAAAACCCGTTGTTATCGAGTTGATTCTGACTCATAGGTCAGAGTAGAACTGCCCCATAGCTTTTCCAAAGAGTGGCTGGTAGATTCGAATTGCCACACCAGGGCTCCAGCTCTAAAGTAGGGGTCATAAAAAGTAGTTAACTCATAAGGTTGTCGTGATGAATAAATACAATGTATGATAAATGATAATAAACGATAAATATAATGTACACTCTCAGCATTAGGTCTCACATAGAATAAGCTCTCAAGAAATATCACCTATTACTATTCTCAGCTGGGGCCACTATCAGGACAAGTCAAGATTTAATTCTTTGGATAAAAATATTTTATGTTCTCAATTAAAAAAAAAATCTGTGATTACACCTAAGTCTAAGAATAAGAGTTTATATTAACCAAACTCTCATCTCAAGAAGTGAGCACTATTAATATTTGGTGAAGATCATTCCAGATGCACACATAATAAATGAACTGATTGATAGAAAAAATATTAACCATAGGATATTTAATATGTATGTAATTTTAAAAACAGAAGTTATTGCATTTAGTTTAAATAAAATTTAACAGGAGAAAATGATCCTGAAATGAAACTGTAGAAAATACTGAACTACAGCTATGCCATTCCTAAGAGATTCTTTTAAGAAAATAAATTATAAGAAATATTAAGACGGTGATGTGATTCTACAGGTTTTTTTTAACTATATAGTTTTTTAAAAGCATGGACAAAGCATTTTAATATGCAGTACATATCAGCCTAAATGGCACACTGATTTGAATTCCCACTAAATGATGAAACCAATGCAGCGAACGTTTGACGTTGTAACGGGGACAGCAGGTGCAGAGGTGTGGAGAGAAGGAGGCTCGGGCACCAAAGAAGATGTGGAGGTGTGTAACATCCAAGCCCACTGGGGCCTTGTAGACTAGGAGGTCCTATGCTAAACACATTTGTTGTAAATGAGAATACAGAAGCCCAGAGGTGCTAATGCAGCACAGGGCTGAGTCTCCAACCCAGGTCTTCTTGCCCCAAATGCATGGCTTCATTGCTTGCCCCTGCCATGCTGGGAGTAACCCCTAGAGGACTGAGCTCCCTTTGAGCGTGCGCCTGTGAGAGAGCAAGTCCTACTCGGACCAGCTTTGAGGCCACTTCCTGTGACTGGGTGTGGATCATCTTTGCGCTCTGGGCAGGGCTCACGCTATCTGAGAAACAGTCTCAGGTATCTCCCTCAGACCAAGGCCAGGGCCATGGGCCTAGCAGGTAGAGCCATCCAGAGGGGAGACACAATGCTACCGTGGCAAGAGAACTTTGACTGTCTGAGAGGCAAATTTGGTGTTCAGGTCAAATGCAGGCTGTCAGGTGTGAAGAGCCCAAAGGCCTCAGATGGGGTTGTGTGGATTTCTGACCTCTCCATCTCTATTCTCAAGCACGTAGTGTTGCTGATATCTCAGTGGGGGCTCAATAAAGGTTGCAAAATTGAATTAACTTTCATACTCTCATTACAACTCAGGAGAAATCTCATTATCCAGGCAGTGCATCAGTAAATCAATTACAGTCTTTGGTTTTGTAAAGAGGTTATGCCTTTTAAAAAAAACATTAATGATCATTTGGAGATTTTTCAATTCTACAAATATTTTTCAGCACTTCTTCTGTGTTCAGCAAAGTACAAGTTCCTAGCAATGCAAAGAGAAATAAGACGCAAAGCCTGGCTTTAAGAGCATCCTGGGTCTGGTGGGTGAGGCAGACCCGTGGGGGTCCGATGTGCGTAGTTGCCACTTCACTACAGGGTGCTCCGGGATCTAGAGTTGTTTTTGTTGTTAGGTGCCATTGAGTTGGTTCTGACTCATAGAGGCCCTATGTACAACAGAATGAAACACTGCCTGGTCCTGTGCCATCCTCACAACCGTTGCCCACTGTTGCAGCCACTGTGTCAACCCATTTTGTTGAGGGTCTTCCTCTTTTTTGATGACCCTCTACCTTGCCAAGCATGATGTCCTTCTCCAGGGACTGGTCTCCCCTGATAACATGTCCAAACTATGTGAGATGAAGTCTTGCTTCCAGGGAGCACCCTGGCTGTACTTCTTCCAAGACAGACTTCTTCCAAGACAAGACATTCTTCTGGCAGTCAGTCCGTGGTATATTTAATATCCTTCATCAACACCACAATTCAAACACATCAATTCTTTGGTCTTCCTTATTCATTGTCTAGCTCTCTCATGCATATGAGGTGATTGAAAATACCATGGTGTTGCCAAACCCAGGAAGGTGGGTCCTGTTTGGTACGTTCAGACTTGTCAATGATCTGGACACTGGTCTTTGAGAAAGAGAAAGTAACTTTGTTGCAATGCGCAGAGCAAGGAGCTGGGAGGAAGGTCCTCAGATCCGACTCCCTGAGCTATGAGGAAACAGGGCTTAATATGTGATTTGAGCAACAAGATGGCAGCCTTGCATACTGGGGCATACTGGGGAGGGAAAATTCTAGAAGGAATACATAGGGAAGACATTGCAGGAATTATGGCAGCCAGGAAACAGAAGGTTCTTGTCAGACCTATCGCTTCAGAAGGGGGTCCAGGTGATGATTTTCCTTCTGATTTGTTCCATCTGTTACTGTGTCCTCTGTTGAGGTCAACTAACGGTCACAGCTGGCCCTTCTGCGCATGTGGGGCAGGCCAAATCTGGCTTGGGCAAGTTTAAGGCAGTCTTGTCTGACTAATGGAATTTTACTGGCATGCGTAGGGTCAGGCTACAATGGCAATTCTGGCCCACACTTCCCAGTCATGAGACCAGCAACACTCAACGCTCTCTTGGAAGAATTACTTCGAAGTCAGTAACACTTTCTCATTTCTCTCTTTATGAGAACAAAATTTCCTCCTTTGAGGATTAATTTAATTTTGGAGAATAGTATCGTTCAGAGAGAGAAAGGCAGCAGAGCAAAGCTAGTGAGGAATATTCTTGGTCAAAATCTTGGTGTGGCTCTTAGCTGACCTCAAAGGCTGTTCTAAAAGATGCATTCCAGAAATGTTTGAGCAACTGAGTCTTGCTGGAGTACGTGTGGTTTCTTGTGTGCTTTCTACTCTGCACACACCCACCCCAACCTAAGTAAAAGCAACCAGACTTCCTACTATAGAGTAGGAAGTCTATTCTTATATTCAAATTGTATATGCTTATAGTTAATAATTAGAACTGCCTCAAACGGTTTCTCAGGAGTAGTTGGTGGATTTGAACTGCCAACCTTTTGGTTAGCAGTCGAGCTCTTAACCACTGCACCACCAGGGCTCCATTAATAAAGCAGAATATAGGATAGGAAGAGCTGATGTAGGTAATGTGGTCAAGTGCCCTATTTCTGCTCCAGGACCTGATGGGAAATCTCTTACAAATGTATGTTTATAACCTCACAGCTGAGTTTTCCGTCTGAAAAATCTGTTTCTCTGAACCTGTTATGATGTTTTTCATCCAAAGGTTAAAAGTGCATCAGTAGACTTACATCTCCATTTAGAAGCTGTTCATTGAACACCACGTTCAAGGCTCTGTGCTAGACCCTGGGCAATGGTGGTGGGTGCGGAGATTACAGTAATACACGGGGAATAAAAGGGTGTCTGCTTTTTACTCTCCAGGTGGTTGCTACACTGGGGACCACATCTTGCTGCTCATTTGATAATCTATTAGAAGTGGGTCCTATCTGTAAGTATCCGATCAACTTTTGGAAAATTTTCTCATGTGGGGAATTAGCAGAATTTCCTCTTTGGGCTCTCCTCCGCCTCCTCATCAAATTTATATCAGGATGGTTTGCCAACTTGTTTTGTTTTTGCAGCAACAGAAACCTCATTAGTTTGAGCTCCACAAGCTAAGAATTTGGGCAAATTGGACAGGAACCAAGCTATTTTTTTTTCAATTGCCATTGAGTCAACTCTGACTCATGACGACCCCATGTTTGTTAGGGTAGAACCATGCTTCATAGGGTTTTCACTGGCTGATTTTTCAGAAGTAGATCACCAGGACTTTCTTTTGAGGGGCTTCTGGGTGGACGCAAACCTCCAACTTCTCAGTTAGCCACTGATCACGTTAACCGTTTGCACCACCCAGGAACTCCTGAGCTTAGCTATACCAACACACTTTTTATAAGAAAAAAATTGCCAGCAATATAACAGTGATACAAAATTGCAAGGATATGTTGGCCCTACTGAAAAGAACTTTTCAAAACCGTAGAGTGAGTACCCTCATATACATGAGGTAGGAATTATCCATTCTATTTAGCCTTTTCTTTTTAGCCTTTTTGGAATTACTTAAGGTAATTAAACAAATCAACATAATAAAAATAGATTTCTCCAAAAGATCATCTGTCAATTCCAGTGTTTTTCTGGGTCAGTCTCATTTCGTCCCTCCCTCAGTAAAAGCACTTAAGTTTTCCCAAACCCATTGCCGTCAAGTCGATTCCGACTCACAGCAACGCCATAGGACAGAGTAGAACTATACCCCATAGGGTTTCCAAGGAGTGGCTAGTGGATTCGGACTGCTGACCTTTTGGTTAGCAGCCTAGCCTAAAGAGACTAGAATTCTTTGTTTTCAGAAGGTGAAACTGTGAACCAGGGACTTTGAGTTTCTAAAGTTTCACCTTCCACAAGTGGCTCTGGGGACTCAGAAGGCTGTGTGTTGGAAGAATTGGCGAGGGTAGGGACCTAGGCTCATGAAACCCCCAGCTCTCTGTCACTTCTAGAGTGGGAGCATTCAGACAGCTGTGGTGAGTGAGCATGGGCGGGTTGTTCCGGCATACCTCCTTCCAGCTCACTGTTGGAAAGACTCGGGTGTTAAGTGAAGGCCGCATGGCCCTTAGGCCTGTGTCTGTGGCCTTGTGCAAAATTTGCAGACAGTGCTCAGCAGTTGATCCAAAAGCCAAGCATGTTCTACCTCTCCTAACCAAAGCAACTCCTGTGGGCCATGCTCAGAGGAGAGGGCTGTCTCCTGCTGGGTCATAGCCACCCATCCTCAGGCTCAGCAGCTTGATGGCATGAACTGGGCATGGCACTGGTGGCAGAGAAGCTAAGGCCATGCCCAGACCCACCACTTAACGCTGTGTGCCTTAAAGTCTTTGAGCTTCATTTTCCCCATCTGTAAAATGGAGGGCAAAACAACAGTTGTAATTGTGAAATAATCACCTTTCCCTCCAAGGGAACTATTCAGAGGATGAGTTGATGCATGAAAAATGTGCTATGCAAAAGATCGTGCATTGCTTGTGTTCTGGGTGATGCTATAACCAGCACCCGAAGTATGTGCTTTGCTTTCCAGTAGTGGGTGTGGGTGTGTTTGCCAGTTCACACATGCTTTCACTCTACCATCTATGGCCTGTGGCAGATGTCTGTAAGAACAACTGGCTGAGGAGGCAGTGGTGCATGGGCAAGGCCTGGGAGAAGGGATGGAGATGGCCTACCCAAGACAGTGGCCACGGTGTCAGCCTCATTAGTTGCAAACTCCCGTCAGCTTGGCCAAACAGCTCTGAGTCCTCCTTGACTCAGATGCCAGGCTAAGAACTGAATGTCCTGGCTGGTGGTCAGCTGATGCAATTCCCCAGGCTCTTAGGTTTAAAGTGCCGAGGTCTTCTTCAAGCCAGAGTTCACACCGCCCGGCTGTCCCTGAGCCAGTGCTGGCCTCCCGCCGGAAGGAGCAGGGAGGTTACAACTATTGGCATCTCCAGGGGCTCAGGATCTTCTGGGCTGGTCCAGCTCAGGCCTCCTGCTGTCCTGGACCTGCCTCTGCTTCACTGGGTCTGGGGACTGCGGGCAGAGCTTGATTTGTGATGTGTTTGGTGTCAAACGCAGAGGCTGTTTTGGGGGCTGTGCTGAGGGAGCTGACATGGGCAAATGCCAAAAGCCTTTCATTCACGGCCAAAGTCTACAACTAAGGTTAATTTTGACAGTTGTATTTAGTTATCAGAAGCCCTGGTGGCGCTGGTTAAAAGCTCAGCTGCTAACCAAAAGATCCGCAGTTCAAATCCACCAGCCACTCCTTGGAAACCCTCAGTTCTACTCTGTCCTACAGGGTCAATATGAGTTGGAATCGATTCGACAGCAAAGGTTTACTTATTTTTTTAAATTTAGTTTTATCATTGACAACATCTTAATAGCCATTGGAACTGCCTTAACAGTTGAGTAAGCACCTTTTAACCCACATTCCCTCATTGGATACTACTTATGTGACTGCACCAAATATTTAGCATTCTTCCAGGTCAAAGTTGACTGTCCTAAGCTCCGGAGCTGACCGTATTGTATAGTCTGGAATAAACCATTAAAAGGACTCAAAAGGGTTTTCACCCACGATCACTTGACAAAGAAAATAAGCCAGGGGATGATTTTCTGCAAATTGCTGCTTTTAGCAAGATCTTTTATTTTTTGTACCCTTAATATGATTTGCCAGAGAGACTGTTTAAACTGGCCACTTAGATCAATTAATTGCTAGCCAGTTTTATTTAGAAAAGGATGAGATACAAAGAGCAGATTATTGAAATCAGTTAAGCACAAGGTATGGAGTGAGAATACTGAGAATGGCTGGTCCTGGCCAATGGGAGAAGCCTGTCAGGGAGCCCAGAAGTGGAAGCAGGACCAGGCAGGGCAGCGAGGCTCTGTCCTGGGGAGTCAGTGCTGGGAGGAGAATGGAGGCTACCCCTGCCCTCTTGGACACGTTTAAAATGCTGCCTGTGGAGGTGGCTTCCTGGCCTCCAAACTGAGTGTGTCTTGTTCTGGGCCTCACCACTCCCCCTGCTCTGGGGGGAATGCTCTGGAGTCTCTATGTCTGCCTGATTCCTAGACATACCTGTAATACTCGTGGGGGTCCGGAAGTAGTTCTGCCATTGTTGTTGCTGGGTGCTGCCGAGTCAATTCCAACTCATAGCCACCCCAAGTGACAGAGTAGAACTGCCCCATAGTGTTTTCTAGACTATAATCTTTATGGGAGCAGGTCAACAGGTCTTTGTCCTGTGGAACCGCTTGGTGGGTTCGAACCGCCAACCTTTCAGTTAGCAGCTGAGTGCGTAACTGTTGTGCCATCAGATTAGGGTTCCTTTGTTTCACTATTGGTGGATCACATATAAGACAGACTTCCAGAAGTGGGAACAAGTGCTCCTTTACTTCTGCTGGAATGAGGTATGCCCTGTGGAGCTCACTTCTGGTAGCATCTGTGAGTTCTGATGTCCCTGGTGTCCCTCTTTTTCCTTCCCTCTTAAGGCCCCTTGATCTAGCTCAGGCCTGGAGATTTGCTCTGCCTTGCCCCCTCATTCACCAGTCCTGAGCTGATTACTGTCTAGCTGCTGTCTACCAAACACCACCAAAGTGCCTCTCACAGAAAACGAAGCTTTCTTACCAGAGGCAGCCCAGACAGCCACACAGAGAGCACCAAATTTCTTTGATATGTTATGCGCATCTTATAAGTGAATCTGAAGTTTCTATTTACTCCAGAACGTCTCTAAGATTCAGCGATGACCTCGTCCTATCATTTCCCCGTGAGCTTCAGGGAGATACTCCCATGCATCTTAAGTCTCTGTGCTCCTTCTGGCTCATGGCTGCATCCATCTGGGGTTATGTGAGCCCCAGTGGAGACTGATTCCATGCGAGGTGATGATCCCAGCTACCCTTCCTCTGTAAAATGTGCTTACATTACTCAGCCCCCACCCTGACCCATAACTCTTGCCTCTTGAACCCTGGCCTGGCCATCTCCCATATCTCTGGACACATTTAATCTTGATCTGACTGAGGGCTTGAATCCCTTCACTCCTGAAGATCCAACTGATATGCCTTTTGCATCTTTTATCCACAGAGCTCAGAGTTAAGTTCCACTTTTTAATACCCCCACACACTGGTTAACAAACATCACGTATGAAAAAGTGAGCGATGAATTCATCCATCTGTTGAACGTGTTTGGCAGATGCTGATAAGGAGCCCTGGTGGTCCAGTGGTTAAAGCATTTGACTGCTAACCGAAAGGTCAACAGTTCGAAATCATCGGCTCTGCGGGAGAAAGATGTGGCAGTCTGCTTCCATAAAGATTTATAGCCTTGGAAACCCTATGAGGTCTCTAGGAGTTGGAATCTATTTGATGGTAGTGGGTTTGGTATTTAGTTTTGATGCTGTCACATACCACTGGTAGCCCTTAGTACAGGGCTCCAGGCATCGACCTCCTCCTCTGTGAAGGGGAAGAACGGCCACTTTAGTGCTGAGATCTTCCCACTGTTAATTCTTACGTATTTCATGAGTCTCCCAAGTGCCTGGGGCAGAAGGAGGGAATTATCATGGTAACCACATTATTTCTCATTAATTCTATGCTACGTGCTGTGATAGGCACATTGTGAACATTATCTCGCTTAATCCTCAAAGTCATGGGTACTCTTTTCATCTCCATTTTGCCTGTGAGGAGAATGAGATGTGGAGCAGGTAGATGAGGGCATAGAGCTGCTTAGCAATGGAAAGCGGGAGCTGAGCCTAGATAGGTCTGAATTGAGGAAGCACGCTTAAACAGGAGACTGTCCCATCTCCAAAGTAAGACATGGTCCCTGCCCTCAAGGCTGTTACGATGCGGTTGGAAAACAAAAACCATAGGCATGAAAGAAGCAGAGGATTCAAGATGGTATAAACTCAAAGATGGTATAGACTCAAAGATGGTATAGACTCAAAGATGGTATAAACTCAAAGATGGCTAACCCTCTTCATGGTAGGGATGGCAGGGGGCTGTGACAGACTGGTCAGTGTGGATGATGTACCCGACCATTCCTCAAAAGACATTTGTGGAGAAGCATTTTTAAAATGAGTGAGCTGAGAGACTTGGGGGAGGGGGATTCCAGGTGGATGAAATGGAGGAGGACAGATAAAGTTGGTGAAACTGGAATAAAACCTGAGTGAGTAAGCATGGCGGGGTTAGAGTATGTGTTAAAGGTAAACAGAGCCATGAGGATCACCCTTGAATATCAAAGGGTGCAGCTGATTCCATTTGGGTCATTTTCTAAGCATCTTGTACGTACCAGGCATCAGGGGGGCCAACCGGACACTACACTGTCGTCAATTTCCTTGTCCTCAGGTGACCGGAGCCTTTTAGGGAGCTAGTCATTTACACTCTGCGAGAAGGGTACTGGGGGTGGGGGACAGGTGTCAGACTCCGTGTGAGAAGGGCACCGCTTGAGAACTCACGAGTGGTTTCTGGATTCCAGGTAACCGGGAAAACATGTGGTTGCACATTGATGCTGCCTATGCAGGCAGTGCTTTCATCTGCCCTGAATTCCGGCACCTTCTGAATGGCGTAGAGGTGAGTGTGCCTTTTGACCTTTAATAAGGTGATTTATTTATTTTTTATTTTGCTTTAGGTGAAAGTTGACAGATAAAAGGTGATTTTTTAAAAGCACATTGTCATTAGTAACATCTCCCTTCATAAGACTGTGATGTTTGATATTTCACTGGGGTGGTGGTGTTTCTACAAATTGTTTTTAAACCAATTTGCGTGATTATTGGAAATTATCCATCCCCATGACAGGGGTTGACAATCTTCCACCGTCATCCAGCCTGCCTTCTACAAACACCCCTGATGTTTGCAGCTATTACTGAGCCTAAGTCAATCCTGGGCAAAATTGATAGGCTGGATAGATTTTAGCAAATAAAACTGTGTGAAAATATTTAGCAACAAAGTAAAATCTTACAACGTTTCAGTTCAAGGTATACTTTAAATTACCAACTTGAAATTCCACACGGTCTGATTCAATGGGATAGTGATGTTCTGATGTGCTGTTCACTTTAACCAATATTGAGCCAGCAGCTGCCAATGCATTTAAATGTCTTCTGCCTCTTCCAGAAATTGTAAAACGTGGATTGTAATGACAGACTAAAACACCTGCTTGTTTTGAGAAATAGCAATCAAAATTATTGACCACTGCTCTGTAAACTGGTACAGACTTAACACAAAGAAATGACCTTATTGATGGCTTGTGAGCTGTGCTCTCGGACTTAGGCAGGATTTCATTGCTGGTGGTAACTCCTAGGACAGGAAGTTCCTCCCCAGAAACTCAGCTATAAATGCAAGAAAGGATCCAGAGAGGCAAGTTTTGGCAGTGCGTCCAGGAAAGAGATGCTAGGCAGGGGAGTAGTGGCCTCGGGCCAACAAAGGAAGGCTTTCTGCTTTGGGGCAGGGAACTTCACTCATATATGACTCGACGGCAATGGGTTTGGTTTGGTTTTAGTTTATGGCACAGCAATTAAGGGCACAGACTTTGGCCCTAGACCTTCTGGTTTGAATCCTAGTTTTTTCTCTCAGGACTGGCTGGTTAACGTTGGGCAAATTAGTTATCCTCTCTATGCCTCATAGAATGGATTTAACAACGATACCTCTTTTGTGGAATTCTTGTAAAGATTAGATGCCTTAATCATGTTTAAAGGGCTTTAAAACAGTGTCTGGGACACAGTAAGTACTATGCATGCATCCGATGCTATTATCATTTTTCACCATGACCTGGAGGAACTGCCCCTCAAAAACCTTTCTTTGCCCTCATGTCATGCCTCCCAAACAATCTTCTAATTGCTAATTTGACTTCTCATAGTGCCATAGTAAGTGTGATAGGTATACAATAGAAATATCTCAATCTTTGGAAAGAATAGTCCCCTGTTAGAAATGAATAAAGTAGCACCCTGATTTATATATCCATCATATCCATTTGTTTATTCATTTACTCATTCATTCAACAATTTTCTATTGAGCTCTTACTTCATGCATGCTAGGACTTAGTTCAATCCTTGGGGGTAAAATGGAGTTCCCAAAGTCCTGTATAAGTATTGGGGTAGAAAACCAAAAAAAACCAAACCCGTTGCCGTCAAGTCAATTCCGACTCATAGAGACCCTACAGGACAGAGGAGAACTGTCCCATACGGTTTCTAAGGAGTGCCTGGTGGATTCAAACTGCTGACCTTTTGTTTAGCAGCCGTAGCTCTTAACCACCATACCGTTCTGATAACATGATGCTAATGCCCAGCACTCTGCAAGTCATTGCTGACAGCTAGTTTTGCAGGTGTTTGGTGATGAAAAGTAAATAACAAATCTCTGTGCTTATAAATAGCTTTTATTCTATAGATAATATAAATCCCTTGAAATGTTGGTCCCTGGACAGTTTCAAAGGAAGGCCTATGTGCTTACCTGGGATTCACATGTCTCCTCAATACGTGGGCCAGTGCTAGATGCTTTTTCTCACCCTAGGAATCAGGTTTAGGATTTCATGATCTTTTCGCACTGTTCTCTTCCCAGTGAGCTGACAATGTGAAGTTTGGTCTTTCACAGGAAAGTGCCTAATTGTCAGACCACCCCAGTGATGGGCATTCAGCTAGATCTCATCGGCGGCAGACAGGGTTTCATGCCCAACAATGAGTCATTTCAATTTTCCCCCCCGCATTGTTGTTCCCGACTCTATCCCCTTGCCTGGCTGAGGAGCTTGCTGCTCAGTGGGTCAGATAAGGGGCTGCAATATCCTGTTGTGGCCTAGCCCTCGCAGATAAGAGCCTTTCTCTCAGTCAGCAGGAAGAAAATATCACTGTTGGGTAATGAAAGAAGTTTAAACAGATCAGCCCCACAGGAGGGAACTAATAAAATTCCTAGCAAACAAAGCTCTTCTTTAACCTTTTGTTTCCTTTCATCAACAAATGGAACTCACTGTAATTTCCGGTCTCTTTCTAAATATTACTTTTATTGAAGCCTGGGAGGAAATGAATCTGCACCTCCAGAGTGGATCGATGTGGAAAGTAGGCATCAGATGGACAAATGTCCCCCCAGCGCTGACCTGGCCCCTTGTCCTTGTTGGCTGTTTGGTGCTCATTCCTCAAACAAATAGAGAAGAGGGTTTACAAGTCTTGGGGAGTTAGTCAGGAGGGGAGATTTAGAAGTTGCCCATTGGGAGGCTGACTCAGGCTGGGGTCTTTCAATGACTGCTGTCCTGATTTCTGCTGCAATTATGGATTGAATCCTGTGGCCAAATCCCTGGCCCTTCAGGTAGACCCAAGTCCTGTTCATCAGTCAGAGGACAGACAAGGGCACACATTTTGGAAAATGTAAGAAATCATCCTTTACGACAGCTCAGGGAAAATTCCAAGTGTCCTCCTTGGTCACTCTTGGTAGCTGAAATCTCTTATTTTCTCCTTGACAACATTGATGGGTGAAGCTGGAGCAAGTTGCTTATAACTGGCACCCATGGTCTTCCAGCAAGGGAACCTGTAACTGTTGGAAAACAACAAACTTGGACATTGTCTGTGCAATTTCTTTGAAAACAAAGGAAAGTTTAATTAAAAGGCAAGAGCTGTTGATATATTCAAGCAATGTTGGTAAAAGAACCAATCAACTAAATGAAGAATGAGGTTATCCCTAGTTACCATAGATGAGTTATGAAATTTTTACTTTCCTATTGTTCACAAGGAAACAGATACCCTGTGAACTTTGCCATCTCATAAGGTTGAGGGAACCAAAGGCATAAAGTATCTCACAGGACAAAGCAAATCTTAGTTAAGGTACAGGACATAGGACCAAAAATCAGTGCAATTTCTGAACATGGTAATCTGAATTAAAGTTCTGGTTATTACAAATATTCCAGGAGTTTGAAATATAATGTACCTAAATTTTATGTGACTTTACACTGTGCAAATTTAAAAGTATGTGAGGTAAACTATTAATAATATTTAACTTTTTAAGGAAAATAGAACTCATGTTTTACTACCTATGTATTTACCACAATTTAAAAAAAAAAAGTAAAACTGTATATCTTTCCCAATTAAAAATGCGTCAGTATTCATGTGATCCCAAAGCAGGAGAGACACTGGTTGTGGTGCTACATGGGCGACATCCCCTCACATATAAAAACGCCCCCTGCACCCTTTGTCAGGTTGTGCCTTGGACTGTGCGCTTTTGAATTTTGCATATTATAAATGAGCCAAGGTCTTCAAAATGCATCCTTTGCAGGGAATGTGATAACCCTACACCAAATTAGGAGCTAAACGCATAAATGGTAGGAAGCTTTAAAAGAAGGCTTTAGAGATGATCCCCATCCAATCCCTCCTCTATAAATCCTTATAGCATTATTCCCACAAGGGCACTTGGCTAGGGATGGAAGAACTAAGACCAGAGTCTGGGTCCCTTACTCCAAACTCTGTGCTCTCTCAACCACAGAAAAGAATGAGGTTCTCCGTTTCAGTTTTCCCACGAACGCTTTCAGAACATTTCTGGATGTCTGGCCCTGGGTCCTGAGGGTTAGCGGAATCATGGTATGTGAAGCCTGTCTAAGTTTTAAATCAACGACCCTAATCCCAGGTGATCATCACTGGCCTCCAAGTCTGCAGGGCACACTCCCCAGCCCCACACAGTGATCCTCTTCCTCCTCCTCTGTACCAACCAGGTGCCCTGTGTTAGTTATCTGATGGTCGCTTTTATACTGCATTTGGATGATCTGTTCTATCAGATTTCACCACTTAACCAGGAGCTCCTGGAAGGCAGTAGCCATGTTCTAATTATGTGTGTTCCCTAGGACCACCACAAGGCTGGTAATAACCACAAGTCACCCACCATAGCAGCATACACGCTTGAGGTGCTGGGCTGAGGCCTCTGCTACGTCACAACATGTCCATAAAGCGGGAGTTCCTATTCTAGTTCACACAGAGTGAGCATTTGAGCAGGGATTCGAAACTGGGGTTCTCTGACTCCACAGCTATCCTCGCTTTTTTGTACTTCAACCCAGAATCAGATCTATATTTAGTTGCCTGTTTCATGAGGTATGATTTCTTACTACCATTTGAAAATGAAGAAAAGAGGCTCAGATAGATTAAGTGGCTGCTCAAGTCTACAATTTTAGCAACTTCCAGAGCCCAGACTGGAATCCAAATCTCAACTGTCCTCTCATGCCTCATATCCCATGATTTCAATGACCTGCTTCAACTCCCCCTTCCTGGGGACTTATGGTGTGGCCTCTTGGTTTTTATTTGAGAACAAAACTTTTCATTACTCTGTGTGAGGTCCTTGTTGTTTTATAACTAAAATGTTTTCCTTTTTTTTTTTTTTGTCATTCCCTGGCAGTTTGCAGATTCATTTAACTTTAATCCCCACAAATGGCTGTTGGTGAATTTTGATTGTTCTGCCATGTGGTAAGTTTCCCCATTCATCAGATGTCAATGACCCTGTTCCCCTTGCTCCTCAGAAATAGTTTGTTTGAAAGAAGCTGGCCTGGGGAGAATGCTAGAGCTGGAAGAACACATAGAGTCACTTAACTTGCTTCTGTTTCTGAAACATTGGTAGAATTCTTGCTAAATCTTACCCTGGTTGTAAATTGTTACCTATAACATAGTATTACAACATATTGGCAGAAGAAAAAAGAAGGCAAATAGAGAAAAATCCGTGATTTGATTTATCTATCATTAACAGAAAACAAACGCAAAGAAATTGTAGTACATGTTTCTAATTCGGTTGCTTCCGTGTATTTATTCCTAGATTCTTAACCGATCCAACACCTTGAAAGCATTTAGTAAAGAAAAAAAAAAATACCCCTATTTCCTAAGAGGGAACTTCTTAATAACTGTGCCATATCACTTTGGTTATATTTAGAGCATGAAAAAGAACTCAGAAATTCAAGTCGACGATACTACCTTATATATAGATGATGTTTAAGGCACAAATGATTAGGAGTGGTATGAGAACAATAATTAATGTTCCAACTTTTCTAGAGTAAGAAACTGATTAATCAAACTTAGGACAAGAGGCTTTGCATGAATTTTGTACAAAACTGTTCAATATATAATTAAATGAGTGGCTTTTCACCTTAGAATTTTAAGAAAAGCGTCTCTTACACACAGTGATGTATCTAGGATACTGCCTCGGCCCTGGGCGTGTGGTGCCACTGAGCGGTTTCTGTTAACCTGGTATGGCCCGACATCCTTCCTCAAGCACGGAAATGTGTTAATTAAAAGATTAACAAGCTTGCCTTGTGTTTTTGAGCTGATATTATGGTAAAGTTATCTGAAAGACAGATGTCAGATGTTTGGACAGGGGAGCCATTTCTAGTGTTTGCCATAGGTGTCATTTTTCCTAGATATGCCACTGGCCAGAAACCCTGGTGGGGTAGTGGTTAAGAGCTACGGCTGCTAACCAAAAGGTTGGCAGTGCAAATCCATCAGATGCTCCTTGGAAACTCTATGGGGCAGTTCTACTCTGTCCTATAGGGTCGCTATGAGTCAGAATCGACTCAACGTCAATGGGTTTGGTTTGTTTTTTTTGATGCCACTGGCCATACTGGGTTAATAGAAACTGCTCAGTGGCACCACACGCCCAGGGCCAGTGCAATTTCTGCCATGCCCTAGCTATGCCTCTGCTTACACAATCCAACTAAGGTCAATTCTCCTAGTTTACCAAATGATCAGTTAGCCCTTTTGCTAGTTTGTCTACAGGTAAACCACATTTCGAGTGCTTTCCTTCAGTTGAAATCAAATTATTTTCCTGACATATTCCTTTCCGCAAACTTTTTTTTTTTTTTTATTGTACTTCAGGTGAAGGCTTACAGAACAAATAGTTTCTCATGAAACGGTAGTACACATGTTGTTTTATGACATTG